CATCTTCTCCCTGATCACCACCCTCCACTGGTTGATCCTCCTGTATGTCCTCTGCAACCGCGTCATCGAACTCGCCCCCCTCGCCCTCTGGCTCTTCCTCCTCTGCGCCCTCTTCCCCTTCCTGTAGGTCAGCTGGAGCCTCTAGATCTTGCTCTCCCTCCTGATCATCAGCATCTCCCTGTTCCTCCTCACCTTCAGCCTTTCCCTCTTCCTTCTCATCAACTTTGGGAGCCTGCTCGCATATCGATTCAGATCATTGCGCCAAGATAGCACATACATGTAGAGATCTCAATTTGGTGGGAGACGCATGGATGTGATGTAAAAGAATTCGAATTCGAAATATCGGAGTGCCTCACTGCCGATGCTTGAGCGGCTGTCGCCTCAAAACACATGTACACACGTGCTTTGCTGCGCGCAGGATTCACATTCATGAGTTCACCATCCAGGCCAGCGCGGGCAAAACAAATTGATCGATATCGATGTCGGTTCGATGAGTGTCAGCAGCTGGGAACAAGACTTGCCGCAACACAGCTAGGTACCAAACCTTTCACAAAAGGCCAGAAACCTCCCTGACGATATTCTTGAGGTCGGATATCTCCTCTGCGAAGGGTCCAGACCTAGAGCCAACTTGCATGAGGGATTCAACTTTGAGTAGAACATGTATACAGAGATGTTTCTTTGACCCCTCTTGCAAAATAATGGCATCGAATCGAAAATGCATTGTGAAGTTCTATGATCATGACTTTAACATCGACCCATGTGCACAGGTGCCCTTTGAGCGTCCCAACTTCGTGGACTTCGACCTCCTCTCACAGGTCTTGAACTCACTGACCAGCATGCGGAACTCCATTGTTATTTCAGATGCTTCAGCCTGACCGTTGCAGTGGCACCGCAATTTTGTTATTTGATGCAGCATGCCTTCTTGTCTCGAATCTTCTTGGCCATGAGAAAATGGAAATGGTCATCCGCTTCCAGGAGCGCTGCCTGGCCAGGAATGAGTCAAGGAGCAATAGGGGCAGAGCTCCAGGGTCAAGAAACAATTTTATCAACTCTAGCGGGAGTCTTGTAGTATATATAGCTGCCTCGATTTCTTTGCCGCTTGGGCCCTTCCTGCCAAATCGGCTGAAGAAGATCTTGAGGGTGGCATAATTGGCATGAACCTGTGCAATTGGTTTCCGAGTTTATGCAGTTTTGTGCGCAGTCTGGATGGGTGCACAGCTGGTTCGCTGCAATCTCTAGGTCTTGCTTTTCTTCCAGAGCAGAACTCTAGCTATATATATATATACATATACATGAAAAGATAAATCAATCGGTGGTTGGCCTTGAGTATCCAGTCCTGGCGCTCGCTGTGCAAATGCGCAAACCCTAGCCAGCTGGACAGCCAACTAATCGATGAGCAAAATGTGTCAGTTCCGTTGAAGATCGTTGAAGCATGCCAGACATGCAAGAACATGCTTGCAGCTTTGCTGACTGCATTGACGTTCAGCAAACTTGAACTTCTCTGGGATCACAAAGGTGTCCATGGCCCCAACACTAGCGCCACCACTGTTTGACCCGATCGATGGCTATCAGACAATGGCCTTCTAAGTAAAATGATCAGTTTAAATTTGACATGGAAGAGCTTGAAAAGATCGATACACTTTCCAAGGTTGGCACTATGATGGCTTTCGTACCGACCTGGGCGATGGAAAAAAGAGACATGGGGCAGAGGGTTCCAAGGTCACATGCATGCTGAGGAGTGGGCGACGGCGTTTCCAACTGGCTCGGTGCATTGCATGGGATCCAATCACAGCCCGCACTGACCATGGCCCTCTTAAAAGATCTAGTTCAACTGATGACGTGCTTGGACTTTTCAATCTAAATTGTTCAAGATCCTTTAAAGACCTGAAAGGATTCGTTCAACAGTCAAGGTTCTGGGTGCCTAGAAACATTAAGGCAACGATCCTATTGTTCTTGTGTTCTCTTGGGTTCTTTCTAGTCTTGAACAACCAGTGGCGGGCTGCACGGCGGATCCCATCGTCTCTCAAATCCCTGAACGTCTGTCATATACAGCTTCACCTCTTGAATCCACCAACGTCCCAATCGACGCCGTATCACACAGACAATGGCACCCCTGGGAGTGGCATGAATGCAGTCAGTAATATCAACCTTAGTTCCCGATGCATGCACGGTGATGTGTGAAGACGCTCAGAGATTTTGCATGGTCAACTTTTTACATGATTTGTTGCCATTTGATGAACCGAACCTTTTCAAGTCATTTGAATACTCTAGACTACACTTCATGAGATGTCCGGCTCACGCAAATGGCGTGGTGCACTCGCATGTGTCCTTTGGGCAAGTGTGGTTGCATGCTTTTTGACAACAGAGACAGCAAGAAATCCACCGCGTTCAGTGAAGCTACGTGGTCTACCTCCTCGTGTTGACGCGGGCGAAACAAACAGTTTTTGGGTAGCGGTGCAAAAAGCCGCCAGTAGGAACAAGACTGATGCCCAGACCTATTTGAAGAGCATTGTCGCTCTTGCAGACGGCCACATTGGAATCCAGCAAAGTTGTTAACAGAGATGCTGCGATACAGGCTATGATGCAGTTGATGGAAAAGACAAAACTATCACTGGTGTTGGGTGGCAAGAATTTGGGGAAATCATTTCTCAAAGGCGAGGCAATCAGTAGATGCAAAAAGAGGAAAGATAATAGGATCCACTTCGTTTCCGTCAACATGCGCGATGGCGATATGGTTGGCAAAACTTTGATGGCTGCACTTGACCTGCAACAGAAAAAATCTCTGAAATGGGCAACTCGGACAGTGCAAGGCTTCCATGCAGTCATTAAGCAAATTGTCAACAAAGCGATGAGCGCCCGATTCGAGGGAGCCGGAGAATCGGCGAAGGATGTCTTGGATGTTGTACTACAAGGACAACAAAAAAACATTGAGACCTTCATTGACAAGACCATCAGGAGTGGTAGGATCCCCAGCCTCGTTGTGGACGAGGCGAATTTGGGGCTACCTGGACTAAGTGGAGATAAGAATGCGGCGGCCAAGTCAGCTTTAGCGGTCATCACAAAATGGACCAAGGAGACGAAGCAAGCCAGCGTTGTGCTGATATCTTCAGAGTTTGGTTATCCCTTCCGCCTGCAAGCTTCAGGGTTTGACCTCAGAGACATAGGCCAAGTCATCGTTATTGGGGAAGTGCCAAAGTCCGACATGCTCAAGATGCTGAAGGATGATTGGAGCATGGACGAGGACTTGGCAGAGATGTTCTACAACTACTTCGGCGGCGACATTTACACTACGAAGATGGCTTTGGACAGCCTCATTCGCAAGGGGGCTGACTTCAACCCCTTTGCCGTTGTGCGATGTCCCGGGCTGCCTTCGTGTGTGAAAAATGCAGCGGCGAGGGCTCACCTGGAGAACATTGCCAAGCAAGGCATCTCTCTCATAGAGGATGTGGAGACGGACGAAGGTGCTAGAATGATTGCAGAGAAGAACGTGGGCGGGGTCATCGACGAGGATGCCATCACCTTCGGTGTACCCACCATCTTCACTGGCACAGACAACAAATGGGCTGTCATCCCATCGTCTTATCATATGAAGCTGCTGATTGCCCATGAGCTCCAACAAATTCCTTTGCCAACATCAGGACGGTGTTTCACAAACTGGCTCTTTGTTTTTTTGTTCTGTTTTGCATCCGCCGTACGCTGTTCCAAACAGGAAGGTGGATGGAGGTTGTTTATATATACTGCGCTGTATATATATATATATAGATTATATTATATATATGTATCTATTGACAATCACGAACTTGATAGATAAAACTAATACAAGCATCCATACCTCCTCCCTGCAAGGTGGCGCTGGGACTGCACCACCAGCTGTTTGGGTGAGACAAATCCGCAAGGACAGAGAAGTGCATTCAATGACTGTGTAAAAACATTTTGTTTCAGCAAAGTCGTTGCTCTGACCAAAGCAATGCACTGATGGCTTTCGGACAGTTCGGTTGAAGATTATAATAGCCGTTCGTTCAGGTTCATGCTCTTTTCCCCAAACCAAAAGCGTGATAAAGGGTAAGTCCACTGCGCAAGATAATACACTGGCATTTGCGTTCTTGTTACAATTCAAGATATTTTTAGAGAGAAGATTGCAGGGTTGTTCATTCCTCAGGATTTTTTGAATGATATTCCCAACATCTTCCTAAATTTGATAAAGAGGATTTTAGACCAAAGACTTTGTATGAATTTCTGCCATGCCCTTGTTCCTTTGCCATGTCCATTTGACTGCTCCCACCTCAACATCTCACCTTTTGAGTGATACAGCAAGTGTTGAACCAGCAGCCTTGTCATCCCTATATATGTTCCTTTCATGTGTTGCTTTGCCATGCTTCGTGTGCTAAAATGGATTGGTCATGTTAATAAATTAAGGGTTGTTTTCCATCATTTCTCCCACTCAAGCGTCAAAAGCATTGTTGTTTGCAAGAGCCGCTACAGCAGTTGATGCCATTGTTCCTTTACGATTTTCCTCTGACTAGTGTTAGGTTAAACTACAGGTGGTTTGTTCAGCCGAAACTTCATAAACAGAATTCCTTCTGGCATCCTTTGCCTTGTCACGTTTTGTTTCAGGACTGTTGGAGAGGTTCCATGGTTGTATGTTTGGATGTCTTCCAATATTCAAGTTCGAAAGGACTCAGACGCAACATATTGTTTCTTTGCCCTTTGCTTGTTCCTTTGCCATGCTCTTTTGAGAGAAATAAATGTTGTTTGATGTTTTTTGGATAAAACACTAGCATATTTATTCCTCAGGATTTGCTGAATAATATCTTCCCAACATTTTCCTCAAAGTGATGGGAAGGATTTAGACTAAAGACTTTGTATGTCTTTTTGCCGTTCCTGTGCCATCTCCATTTGACTGTTCCCACCTCAACATCTCATCTTTGAGTGATGCAGCAAGCGTTGAACAAGCAGCCTTGTCATCCCTCTCTGTGTTCCTTTCATGTGT